GCCTGCTGCTACCGACGACCTCCCATCGACCCGTGCGCTCCCACAGAGAGGGCCTCCTCAGGGTGCCATCAGCCAAACAATGTAGGCTGGTGACCCCCAGGGGGAGGGCTTTCTCTGTGGGGGCTCCCACCCTCTGGAATCAGTTGCCCCCGGAGATAAGAAGAATCCAGGACCTCAATGCCTTCCGTCGTTCCCTGAAAACCTATCTTTTTCAGCAAGCCGGGTTGGCTTAAGAAGAAATTTTAAAATTTTAAAATTTTTAAATCCTTTTAATTAGTCTGCGATTTTTAATTTTTTGGGCCAAATTTTATATATATTTTTAAATGTTTTAATATTTGTATTCTATGTTTTTTATCTTGGCTGTACACCGCCCTGAGTCCTCAGGGAGAAGGGCGGTATATAAATTCGAAATTAAATTAAATTAAATTAAATCCCAAGATTGCTTTCTCTGCCTGCCTGCCTGCCTACCTACCTAGTTTATCCATCCAACCACTTATCTAGTCAGTGGGTCTGTCTGTCTGTCTGTCTGTCTGTCTGTCTGTCTGTCTATCTATCATCTATCTATCATCTATCAACCTACCTACCTAGTCTGTCTGTTATCTATCCACCCATCCATCCACTTATCTAGTCTGTCTGTCTGTCTACCTACCTACCTACCTATCATCTATCTATCTATCTCTACCTACTTAGCTAGCTAGCTAGCTACCTACCTACTTCTACCTACCTACCTACCTACCTATCTGCCTGCCTGCCTGCCTGCCTGCCTACCTACCTATCTACCACAGTGGTTAGAATGCAGTATTGCAGGCTAACACTGCTCACTGCCGGGATTTCGATTCTGACTGGTCAAAGCTGATTCAGCCTTCCATCCTTCGATAAAATGAGGACCCAGATTGTTGGGGCAATATGCTGACTCTGCAAACCGCTTTGAGAGGGCTTTAAAGCTCTATGAAGTGGTATATAAGTCTAAGTGCTATTGCTATTCTATACAAATGGCTGTCCAGACTCTTATAGATAGATAGATAGATAGATGATATATAATAGATAGATATAGATAGATGATAGATAGATAGATAATATATAATAGATAGATAGATGATATATAATAGATGATAGATGATATATAATAGATAGATATAGATAGATGATCGATAGATAGATAATATATAATAGATAGATAGATGATATATAATAGATAGATAGATAGATGATATATAATAGATAGATATAGATAGATGATCGATAGATAGATAGATAATATATAATAGAAGATAGATGATATATAATAGATAGATATAGATAGATGATCGATAGATAGATAGATAATATATAATAGATAGATAGATGATATATAATAGATAGATAGATAGATGATATATAATAGATAGATATAGATATAGATAGATGATCGATAGATAGACAGTCTAGACAGAGAAGTCATGTTTTCTTCCTTTTCTGCCCTACATAACTCAGTAGGAATCATTGAGCACACAGGCCCTGCAGGATCCATTTCTAGGACTCAGTCCAAGGTCATAAAATGTTGGCAAATTTAGTCACAGGGGTCAGCGATGAGCATTCCATGAAATAAACCGTGGCAGATACAGCTGGGTATTTTTTAAAAAACCCCATTGAACGGAGCCATAAACTCTGTGTGTGCAGTTTTCCCTTAAGTTTCCAAAGCATGTGCTTCTGTTCAGGGCTGATTAAAAGCCAGGTTAAAAAAAAAAAAAGAAGAGTAGAACTATAAAGACCCAATTCTCCCAAAATCATGGCTCCTTGTAGTATATTCTATTTATACACATGGCGTTCTATTTTTACTTGCCTAAATATAGAGTTGCAAGCGATCAGTCAACTTTCAGAAGGTTTCTTTTTTGGGGGCGAGGCGAAGAAGCCAGTTTTTTTGAGAGTCTGAGTATTCCTTCTCTAACTGGACTAGATTTCAGATCCATCCCCGCTTCCCCATTTTCTGTGCATGCATCCAAGCTATAGACCTATACGCACATTGCTAATAAGTATAATATTAATGCAGGATCAGGGGTTTTCAATTCAATTGTACAGAATGCGAAGGACATGTCTTTTTGTTTTATTTTTATAGCTTTTCTTATGTATGATGTATGCCGAAGATGGCATTGAATTTCGTTGCATGAGGTGCAATGACAATAAAGTCAACTAAAGTAAACCAACAGTCTTAAAGATGCTACTCAAAACTGGAGGAGGTTTAAAGAACGCTCGCTTTTGTTATTGGATGTTTCTTTTCTTAAAAACAACAACAACAAAAAAGCTAGGAAACTTTGCCATGTAGATGAGATCTGTATTCGATGGTTTTTCTGCCTCTTTGTTTGCCTTGCAGCGACGAGAAGCACAGTGGGCAATTCTGAACTGTCTGATAACTTGACTTGTCCTCTGGGTTTTAATAGTCTGCCTTTTCCGTCAGAGATACATCGCCAAACATTGAAATCAAATGCAGGCAGGCACCCCAGCAATAAAATAAAATATATATTTAAAAAAACCCACCCCGCCCTCTTTCTCCACTACTCGGTTGCAACACCCCTGTTGCAATCAAAGCAACTGTTCAACTTTAATTCCCATAATAACCCCCTTTCCCCCACTTCTCTTCTTCTTTTGTCTGCCTTTAATTAAAGTGGACATATGGAAGGAGCTGATAATAAGAGCAGATGAGCCAATGCGAGCCAGGATGGATGCAATTATTGGAGAGCAGGAAAAAACTTCAGCCGGAGTGTTTCTGCCCAGATCACAACAAACGCACGCCAACCAGCAACAAAACACAAAACTAAGAGAGAGTTGCGTTCACAATCCACCCAGCCCTATAAAGGCCCCTTTTTCCCTGTTGGGTGATAGTGATAGTCGCCATGAAAACTTTAAGCCAGGCCTCAAATGGTCCAGCTTCTATTTATATATTATTATTATTTTTTTAAAAAAAACCCAGGAATTGAGATTAAACATAACAATCCCTGCCTCGTATCCAATTCGACAATAAAGGTTCACCAGGCAAACGGTGGTGCCCAGTTTGCCCTACAGACAAAGGCCTCCCTTGCTAATTTTAGCCGAATAATTTGAGGATGATTTCTGCCTATTGGCATTTCCATAAATAAAACATCAAGTTACATTGTGCAACCCAGCTCTTCATTATGGCATTCGGAGAGAGTTATATTTAAGTTAAAGGGATCGTTAGCAGTGGAGAAGCAGAGAGAGAGAGAGAGAGAGAGAGAGAGAGAGAGAGAGAGAGAGGGAGAGGGAGAGGGAGAGTGAGAGGGAGAGGGAGAGGGAGAGGGAGAGGGAGAGAGAGAGAGAACCGAAGGATAAATTGGTAGTTTATGAGATTAGAACAATAAACCTCATCGTAGGCTTTCCTGACCCGAGGGTGCTCAGCTATGCCAGACTACAACTCCCATCAGCCCATGGCTGGTGATGGTCTTTGTAGTCCAACATATTGGAAAGTCTCCAGATTGCAGAAAGCTGACTTCCGGCACATTTATAAAAAGTCCAGGATTTCACTCTCTCTCTTTTTTGTTCCTAATGCTGAGTGTGCAGGAGCAGGCAGCCTAAATTATCTGATTAAAAACCCCAGGAATCAGTAAAACCGACAAAGACGTGCCTCCTCATTGTTATTATTATTATTATTATTATTATTATTATTATTATTTTGGAACGTTTTAGCTTATACGGTGGCTTTGCCCCTTTAAAAACTTGAGTTTCTCGACCCTACTCCTTTTCATTCCAAAGTGTAGGACAACAACAAGCTTCCCTATTGAAGCGAAGAGAAAGAGGTTGCGTTGCCTTTCCATGGGGGAATGTGTGTGTGTGTGTGTGTGTGTGTGTGTGTGTGTGTGTGTGTGGTGGGGGGGCTGGTGCAAAATATTCAGCTTCAATTGACGAACTCCCACCCCTTCCCTTCCCTCCACCCGTCTTTCAAACGCCTGCCGGGAAAGCAAGAGCGGACGCCGGACCTTTTCAGGACCCTGGACAGCGTCAAGAGGAACCCAACGGATAAAAGAAAATTTTCCTGGGTAAAAAAAAAATTCAGGTTGGATGGTCAACTCTAGAGCCTTTGCTTGGAATAGAATAGAATAAAATAACAGAGTTGGAAAGGGGCCTTGGAGGTCTTCTAATCCAACCCCCACCCCCTCAAGCAGGAGACCCTGTCTCCTTTCAGACAAATGGCAGGCCAGGCTCTTAAAAAAAAAAACCCTTCCAGTGATGGAGAATCTCTATAGACCTCCAGTGATGGAGCACCCACAAGTTCCCAACGTGTCCATCTGTACAGCTTTCTTGAAGAACGCTGGGAAAGTTTTCCAGCTGGGTGGGTGGGGGGGGGGGAACGGAGTGAAAAAAAAGAAGAGTCCTGCATTTTCACTTCCTACACTTTCCCCCCCCCCCGCCCCGTCCCCAATGGGCTTTATTTCTACTTAATCCAATCCGTAGTGTGCCAGAGCCTCCCAAACACAGAAATATCAAATAACCAAGGAGAACATCTACCTCTTTGATCAACAAAGATTCTCTGGATGGGTGGGTGGGTGGGGGGTCTTTCACAGGGATTGCTCCACACAACCTCTTCCGAGGGGTGGTGGTGGTGGAGAAAGACAGACAGAGAGAGACAAACAGACAAACAGACCGACAGATCTATACGTCCTCCATCCATCCCCCCCCCTTTTCCCCATCTTTCTGGCTTCGCTCCACGCCTCTTGTGATCCTTACTGAGTTCTCGGTTCTTTTTCCCACCCGGAAACACAACAACAACAACAACCAACCAACCAACCAACAACCTAACAGCAGCAGTAGCACAACAGCCCATCGCTCCCTGAGTTCCCTGCCTCCTCTTTTGTCCCCCCCACCCCCCACCGCAACAAGCCAGCCAGCCAGCAAACAAATACTGTGTAAGCGGCTTTAATCAACCCAACCTCAACCTCAACCTCAACCTCAACCCAACCCAACCCAACCCAACCCAAACAACGTACACGCACAAACACCCCTGGACTTACCTTGGCCGCCAGTCCTATTGTCTCTCCTTTTTGCAAAATGACATCACAGAAGGCAGTCATGAAATGTATCGGAGCGAACGGCAGAGTTGGGGGGTCGGTGGGGAGCGGGGAAGGGGAGAGGGGAGAGAGAGGGAGAGAGAGAAAAGGTGACTCGGGGAGAGTTGGAAGGTACCGGAGGCTGCAAAGCCTCTGTGTGTGTGTGTGTGTGTTGTGTGTGTGTGTGTGTTGTGTGTATGTTGGGGTGGGGGGGGAGGAACTAAGCCGAGGAGGACTTGCTAAAAAAAAAAAAAAAAAACACGGGCCCTGTTTCTTCACCCCCCGAAAAATAAGAGATTGATGGAAGCTTTTCCCCCGTCTTCGCCTCTTAGTCGTTCCTGGGCGAACTCTTTAAAGCCTGCTAAAGGCAGTCTCACTTAATGATCGGTCGCATTAATGGGATGGAAGGGGGGAGGGAGGGAGAGAGAGAGAGAGAGAGAGAGAGAGGAGGAGGAGGAGAAGGAGGTGGAGGGGCGCTCTTTCCCCCCCACCCTTCCCTTTGTAAATACAGTACTCTACCCAGCAACCTTTTAGGCTGGCAATATATCTGTTTACTCTCGGAGGTGAAATAAATCTACAGTAGGGAAGGAAGGGAGGGTAGGACACACGGACACACACACACACACACACGGAGGTGCGGACTTATTTATTTGTTTTTTTTTTTTAAGGGGGGTGCCTTAAAACGGGAGCTCTGGACTAGCTCTCCTTCCCAGTTCAAGAGAAGGGGGGGAGGAAATGCCTCCCGTGCTTGCCACGATCCACTTCGAGACATTAATATCCAGTTTGTTTGTTTTTTAATGCAAAAGAGAGAGAAAAAAAGAAGGAAAAATAAAACGAATTAAGGAAGGTTGGAACGGCCGGCTTAATTTTTTTTCTCTCTCTCTCTTTCCGACTCCCCCCCTTTCCTCTCTCCCCCCCCCTCCGCGTTTCCTGCTTATGGTACAGTCCCATAATTTCTAATAGCAACAAGCAGGGAGTGACAGATGCCCTGGCGCCGCCCCGCCAGCGCCCAAAGCACCCCCCCCCCCGTCTTTATGACCTAGAGCCATTACGGAGAAGAAGAAAAAAAGAAAAAAAGGAAGCAGAACGGCGGAGCCGACTTTGAATATGGAAAGAGCCGAGGAGCCCTTGGGCGCATCCACACGACCCCCGCGTGGTTTTTATTTATTCATTTATATTTCTTTATTTTTCCAGGATGCTCGCCGCGATTTGCAAAAAAAAAAAAAAAAAAAAAAGTTAGTTCCAGCATCTTTGGCAAACTTTCTCCAACTTCACAGTTATGGAAGTTGACTACCGTTAGCTCCTCCTCCTCCTCCTCCTTTTAAGAAAAAACCTTTTCTATTTTCTGAAGATGAATGCAGACCTACCTTTCCGGCTTCAGAAGTGAACTTACCCCCCAAAGGCACTGCGTGTTATTTATTTTTTTTATTTACCGATGTCCCCGCCTTTATTATTTTATTATTCACATGTCTGATATGTTCTTTTTTTTTTTTTAAATTTGATTTATATGCCGCCCTTCTCCGGAGACTCAGGGCGGCTTACAATGCGTTAAGCAATAGCCTTCATCCTTTTGTACATTTATACAAAGTCAGCTTATTGCCCCCACAAACTGGGTCCTCAATTTACCTACCTTAGAAAGGATGGAAGGCTGAGTCAACCTTGAGCCTGGTAAGATTCAAACCTGCAGAAATTGCAGGCAGCTGCGTTAATAACAGGGTGCTTTAGACCACTGTACTACCAAGGCTCTTATTTCCCCCCACAACAATCACTTTGCGAATTGGATTGGATTGAGAGGGAGGGACTGGCCCAAAGTTACCCAGTTGGTTTTCTTGCCTAAGGCAGGACTAGAACTCACCATCTCCTAGTCCAGGGGTCAGCAACCTGCGGCTCTGGAGCCGCATGTGGCTCTTTCACCCCTCTGCTGCGGCTCCCTGTCACTCAAAATATGCATCACAACCACCAATGTTCGACACCCACCGGCATGTGATTTATTGAGCTTGGATAAATCAATAAATCCAGCCATGGATAAATCCAATTCAGAAGAAAACAGAACGTTTAATTCAACTACATATGCTAGTTTTGTGGCCACTTAGGAAATAGCCAGGCACAAGAAGGGTTTAGTGGCTCCCGGTGTTTTCTTTTCTGTGGGAAATGGGTCCAAATGGCACTGAGTGTTTAAGGTTGCAGACCCTTGTCCTAATCCCATGATGGTGAACTGAATGGTATACGTGCAGGAAATGGCATCTCTCTGAGCACGCCAGCCGTCGCCCATTGCTCTTCTGGGTTCTGGCCCGCATGTCAGCTGGTCTTCATGTGCGCACATGCACACCAGAAACCAGAAGACCATGTGACCGGCACACATGCGCATGCCTGAAACCGGAAGCTCAGCTTCCCGGCACACGCATGCACGCCGGGGAGCTGCTTTTCTGGTCTCCGGTGCTCCCACACGTGCGTGCTCCCGTTTTGGCACTTGGTGCCGAAAAGGTTCGCCAACACTGTCCTAGTGATTGGCTCAAAGTTATCCAGTCAGTTTTCAGGCGGGACTAGAACTCACTGTCTCCTGGCAATTAGCTCAAAGTCACCCAGCTGGCTTTCATGCCTAGGGAGGGACTAGAACTCACTGTCTCCTGGTGATTGGCCCAAAGTCACCCAGCCAGCTTTCATGTCTAAAGTGAGACTAGAACTCACTGTCCCCTAGTTTCCAACTTGATGTCTCAACCACACTGGCTCTTTATAGACAAGGAGGTTTGATCTATACATTCCAAGCTTCAACATCCTAAATATTTCAGGAGAGACCAGACAAGAGGAAATCCTGTTTCAGGTGGTGGCATCCTCCTTCCTCCAGAAACGACATATATTAGGAACGGTTTCCAGGGGATGCCACCACCAGAAGAAGCTTTTAAGATTTTGGAAGCAGGAATGATCCCGAGGTTCCCGAATGATCCCGTTGATTGTTTGTATTGTGCATATTGTTATATATTATATATTATGATTTATGTATGTTAATAAAATTAAAAAAATAAAAAATATATAAAAAAAGGAAATCCTGTTTCAGCTTGATGCTTTCCAGATGGAGGCTGAGCTTACAATTAAAGTTAAGATACTGATAGAAGAGAATATTTGTAGCTCAGGGTTGCACTATGGAGTCCTTGGCGCTCTCTGAGCTTGGTTGGTTCGCAGGGCCGGATTTAGATGAAAAGAGGCCCTAGGCTATTCCACTTATGAGGCCCTTTCACCTATAGTGAAAGTGTAATTTTAATTTTGCTAACAATTTGAATGTAGGCCCCTCTTGATCTTGAGGCCCTAGGCTGAAGCCTAGTTAGCCTATAGGAAAATCCGGCCCTGGTTGTTTGCTTGCAAACATTTCATTGCCCAACTAGGTAACATCATCATTACAGACCCCATTTGCTTCTAGCACATTACCTGCTCTTGGGTGATGTTACCTACTTGGGCAATGAAATGTCTGCAAGGAAACAACCAAGCTCAGAGAGCGCCAAGGACACCACAGTTAAGATAGTCCAGTTGTTGATGGCGAGTCTATTGACCAAATATCTCAGAAGCAATTTTATCACCTGGCTGATGTAATTTTTCTCACCCTTGATACAGGTAGTCCTCGACTTATGACCGCAATGGAGCCCAACATTTCTGTTGTTAAGTGAGACATTTGTTAAGTGAGTTTTGCCCCATTTTACGACCTTTCTTGCCACCGTTGTTAAGTGAATCACTGCAGTTGATAAGTTAGTAACCCGGTTGTTAAGTGAATCTGGCTTCCCCATTGACTCTTGCTTGTCAGAAGGTCATAATAGGAGATTACATGACCTTAGGACACAGCAACGGTCATAAATATGAGTCAGTTGCCAAGCATCTGAATTTTGATCCCATAATCATGGGGATGCTGCAAAGGTTGTAACTTTTTTCAGTGCTGTTGTAACTTTGAACGGTCACTAAATGAACTGTTGTAAGTCGAGGACTACCTGTACTGGAAATATAAATTCCAGAATTCTAAAGACTAGGCTCCCAACACATGATAACAGAATATTGGTGCTATGGATAATAATTTCTACTGATCCTGGGTGCATTAGCACCTGCTTTTCATCTTATTGTAAGCCACCTAGAGTTGTGTGATGGAGAGATGGGTGGCATACAAATTTAGTAAATAATAATAATAACAACAACAAAAACATTGAAGGAAAATGTGATAACAACTTGACCTGGGCATGGCTTAAGATGGGAACCATCAAGAAAGAAACGGGAGGTTTAATACCGGGCTGCTCAAGAACAAGCACTACAAACTAATGCCATGAAAGCAAAGATACAAAAATCCACCAACAATCCAAACTGCTGACTTTGCAATGACAAAGTTGAAACTGTTGCACACTTAATATGTGAGTGCAGCAAAATTGCACAAATTTATTTATTTATTTATTTATTTTATTAAATTTCTATACCGCCGAAGGTATAGAATAAATTTCTATTTCTCCCGAAGGACTCAGGGCAGTGAACAGCCACGAGATAAAACACATAAATACAAAAATTTAAAATGAATTAAAAACGAATTAAATAATTTGGCTGAATTTAAAATACCCCAAAATTTAAAACAAATTAAAATTTACATTTAAAAATTTATGTTTAAAAAGGGGAGAAGATTTAGGCCAGGCCAGCGTGATGGAATAGGAAAGTCTTGAGCGCGCGACGGAAGGTGCGCAGATCCGGGATCCTCCGTATCTCCGGGGGGGAGCTCGTTCCAGATCGTAGGTGCCCCCACAGAGAAGGCTCTCCCCCTAGGGGCCGCCAGTCGACATTGCTTGGCCGACGGCACCCGGAGAAGCCCCTCTCTATGGGAGCGTACTGGCCGGTGGGAGGCTATTGGTGGTAGCAGGCGGTCCCATAGATAACCAGGTTGATTACAAAAATTGATTACAAAGCTAGACATGACCGAGTTGCTAAATGAATCCACTGGTCATTATGTTAAAAATACGACTTACCTGTTTCTGAAAAGTCATGGGACCATAAAGTGGAAAAAGTTGTTGAAAATGAGAAGGTGAAGAACTTGTGGGAATTTCCAATACAGACAGATCGTCATTTAGAACACAACACGCCAGATATCACAGTTGTCGAAAACCGAAGTGTACAATTTATTGATATCGCTGTACCGGGAGATGCCAGAGTCAAAGAAAAAGAACTAGAAAAAAAAACACGAAATATTGCGACCTGGCCATCGAAACTATGCAATTATGGATGAATTGCATGTGACAGTGATACCGATTGTCATTGGGGCACTTGGCACCATGTCCAAGAATTTTACAAAATACATCAAGAAATTACAGCTTCCTGCAATAACACCAGCGGAACAGCAAAAAACTGCACTACTCAGAACATCATACATTTTAAGAAGGTACTTGGTCGATACCTAGGATGCTGGCAGCAACTGAATCAACCATCAGTGCCAGTCAATAATATTTGTGATACATTTTTAAATGTTCAGTTGACTGAGTTTCATATTTAATGAATAAAAGAATAACAATAACAACAACAACAATAATACTAATGTGACAGACAGCAAATGCCGTCTCTGCAAAGAAGCTGAAGAGACAGTGGATCACCTAATCAGCAGAGACT